AGTTTTAGAAAGAACAGTTTAAAGTAGTTTCCAGCTTTCTGAATGATACAGAAATTCCTAGTTCTGTTGAACATAATTCTAAAAGTAGTATTTCAGTTCTTAGTTTATAATTCTGCTTTAAAAAAAAAGCAACTACCAGCTTAAGCAGGGCTGTTTTATCTGTATTATCAGTCCTGTAGGTCTTTTGGGAAGGAGGTACTTTTCTGTCCATAGCATTCCCCTTCCAGTGAGTCCTTTAAGCTCTCCTAAAACAGAACTACAGATGATTGTTCTTTAAAGAAAGGTTTTTATTTATGTATTAGAAAAAAGGAGGTGTTTCACCATGTGTTTAAAAAATATCTGGAAGAAATCCCTCAATTTTGAGACTGGATCGAATAAGCATTTTTACCAGTTTCCTACTCAGTAACTTTCCTTTTTGTCTCTTTGCAGTTGGCAAACCCAAAACACAGGTGATAAGTGCTTGTCGGGATGCAATAAGAAGCAACAACTTCAACACCCTGTTCAGGATAATGCGTGTGGGAACAGCCTCTTCCTAAGGAGGGAGCAGCAGTGGCACAGAGGCACATAATGGGTGACAAGCAGTTCATTCAGTCTCCTACTCCACCGTAGGGGGAAGGAATTCCAAAGGTAGCATTGTAGTTAAGCTGTCAGCTGGAAAATATGTGGGCCAAAGCTTCATGGGGAGAGCATCAGAGCTTAAGTGCAGATGTGGTGTTTATGCAAGACAGAGGTATAATGTTCAAGCAGTTATTTTTCTTACAGTAACTTATTTATGTATTTATATATATTTTGTAGTTAAGGCATTGACCTTTTCCATTAAAGCATAAACTGACTTGAGTGCTTTTGTTTTGATTTAGCTGGGGAGATGTGTAGTGTTAAGTTTATTTGTTGAAAAAATCCAACCCAAACCACTTCTCTGGCTTTTGCTGCATGGTCTCTGTGCACTTGAACTCCCCGTGCTGGAGAATCCCGGGTTTCATTGCAGGGATGTGTGGCTCTTCAGGGAAACTGCAGTGCAGTGCACTAGAAGCACCAGAGGGTGCTGGCTCCTTGCTGGCTTTTAAGCCAGACCTTTGACAGCCATCCAGTTCCATGATGTGTGCAGGTAGGAAGTGCTCTGTTTCATATCCGACACTTCCCCACGCCTGGATTGCAGGAAGTTTTGCTTCCAGCTACTGGTTCTGTGCTACAGCTGGAAAAACTGCAGCTCCTGAGGTGGGCAAGGGTGCATTTCAGGAACAACAGAAACAAACTACACACCCAAGCTTGGTGCATACTCATGAAGAGCTGGCAGTACCTAATGGGATCAAAAGAAGAAGGTACAGAAAACTCATTTGGTTCCTGGCTCAAACCTGTTTAATTGCGGAATCTCTTTGAATTGGATTACAATATTACAGTAAGGCTCTCTATCTTAGATCTGAAGGTGTTTTTGGATCTTTGCCAAAGCAGATTTCTTTAGAAGCTAAAAATATCCTGCCCAGGGTGGAGGTTGAGCCCTGGTGCTCCTCGTTCTGTGCTGTGCATCACACCTGCTGCTGTGCAGGTCGGGGTTTGTGACACAGGTGGGGAGGAGTCGGCCCATCCCGGTGAAATGGAGTTCTTGGGTCACTTCTTGGGGCTGTCAGGAGGATTTGTGTCCTGTAACTGGTCTGTCTCTTACGAGCCACTACTGAATTAAAACCATCAAGCCACTGTTTGTTAGAGAGCAGTTGGTGAGCACGTGACCAGGTGAGTGGGGAATGTAATTCTTACAATGTGTTTTAATCCCCAGAACTGCCCCTTGCCACTGATTCAGTCCCTTCCATACAGAGAACTGTGCTGTGGAAGTACAGACCACTGTCACTTCAAATCCACAGCAGTAGCTCATTTGAATCCTTTTAAGAGCCTGCTGTTAGTCAAATCCAGCTCCTTGGTAAAGGGGTGGTGAGCCACCCATGCTGTTCTAAGCAGGTGAGCTCAGACTTGATTATGGAACAGTCTCCTGGCATAAGTGCTGGGCTTTCTGCCACCTGCTGTACCTGTTCCCACTGTTTCAACCTCCTGTTCTTAATGTTCAAAATCCTAATGCTTGCTTGCTTATTTTTATGTACTCCATTTAATGATAAGAGAGTGGCTGTGATCAGAAAGCAGCTTTCCCATCAGCCTGATTTTCAGGACTTCGCACCAGGCACTGCCATTCCCAGCTCTGTTTTGCTCCTGGCAAGGTCAGTCCTTTGCTCACTGTCCAGTCCTCTGATAACACTGATTTCCCCCATCTAAGTTTCTGACAACAAATTTGTACTTTATTTTCCTGTAAAGCCAACTTCCATCTACCAAATGAAAAATGCACATCCTGTGAGCTGAGGTGATACCAGGCTTGCAGTTGCCTGTTGAAATAAAGCTGGTGTGCAGTAGCAAGCTGGCATAAACTGAGCCTGCCCCCCCTGCACCAAGTCCCAAAATGTTTGCTGTGAAGTATGTGAACAGCTCAAAGCTTAAACAACTGCAAGCTGCTGGTGCCCTGCCTCAAGTGCCAGGCTGGGAGGTGCAGTCAGCTGGTGGGAAATGCACGGCCTTGTACAGCCCAGCTCATCAGTGGCTTCTTGCCTGGTATGAAGTTCCTGTTCTCTGTTGCTTCCCCTCTGTAACTCTGTTCACTTGTGGTTCTTGGGCCTATTTTTCTATATTGTCCTGCTTATTAATTTTGTAGGTATGTATATGTCTTATATTCATATTCCTCTCCATAATGATGGAGTACTTTGCAAGCAGCTACACCTAATTGTAAATATGGGTTTGTACCCGTCTCTCTACAGAGATGGCTCCCATTACTGGTGCTGTGTAAAGTAAGACCCCTCTTCCCCCCACAGCTCACATCATTTGAAATGTCAGCGTGTGGAGTCTTTCCTCTGTACGTGCAGTGCCAGCCTCTGGCTTTTGGGACCTAGGACAGGAAGGGTGGGAGAGCAGAGACATGTTCATTTTTAAATCTTTGAAAACCAACTGCAAATCTGGCTTCCTAAATTACTCTGAGTCACCGGAGGCAGAAAGGTGGTTCCTTGTGTGATCAGGTAGATAGGGCCTCACTCTAGCTGAGGCTGCTATGCCCTCTAGTGTAGTATTTATTATTAAAAAGCAGCAAACTAGAGAGCCCAGCTTCTCCCAGTCTCCTGGGAGGCGGTTCCAAGATCTGCCAAGCACATTCATAGGCTCAAAATGTGGTCAAAGAAGTAACTTCATTTTGTTAATTAATTTACTCCCAACTTTGCCCAGCAGACTGTGCTGTCAATAACTGTGGTATCTGTCACTTTGGTTCAAAACTACACAAATAATTTTGGGTTTTTGTTCTTTGAAGCTTCCATTACTTGTTTCTTTCAACTGGAGCAGCTCAGAATAAGAACTGCTTTCTCCCCAAGAAGAGCTGCTGCCCCAATAGGCAGCAGAGTGCCTCAGAAACCAGTAACTCAGAGAGTCCTGTCCTACTTCAGGATTAGTTTCTAGCTTCATCCCATTGTCTTTGTAAGTAGCAAAGGAAGATTAAAACTAAGCAAGAAAGTCTTGGTAGTGCACAGAGAAGCCATCTTAAGGAGACAGAATGTGAAGAAGATGGTGTAGATCTTGCAACTGCAGCTCAGCACAACCACCTCCCAGCTGTGCTTCCCGTTCAGCAGTGCAGGAGGGAGTAGCTAGAACCGAACAACTGCTTGTAATCTGGGATGGAACTGACCCTGGAGCTATAGAATTCTGCACAACAGGAGTGCAGGACAGTGTTGTCCCCTTGCTCTGGCACCTGTGGGGGCTGAAACACCTTTCCCTTTGGAAGCAAGGGCAGGGATTCCTGCCAACTGCCTCAGGGAATCCTTTTTTGACCCTTGTGTATTGGGATTGAAGCTGAAGGCTGTTGCTCCTGTATCTTTATGAAGACAAGCCCACAGGACACCTCACCTGCTCAGCAAAGGGTGCAGAGTACTCATCAGCAGTTGGCCTTGCTTTGGGCTCACTGCTCCTCTGCTGCCAGCTGTGGTCTTACACCACTGTGGTGGTCTTCAGCAACAGGCCTGGAACTAGAGACTTTAATCCAAAGCTCCCCTCTCCCAGCCCAGGAGAGGCAGGAGGAATGAGAGGTGCACACTCTCCCCAGCTCACTGCGAGCCTGTGGCCTGCACGGTCTGGCTCGGATGAGCTGAAGGAACACCCGTGTCTCAGTGCCAAGAGAAGTTTCAGGCAAGCAGGTGCAGGCCAGGGCTGAGCCTCCAGCAGGGAGTTGAGCACTCTGGCTGGCTCTGGAAGCACCAGCACAGCTCTGCTGCACCTCGTGGTGAGTATGGCACAGTCCTGCTGCAGTGGACGTGGGGCAGGCACAGAGCCTGAGAGCACGTGCAGGGAGGAGGTGCTGCACCAAGACCACTGCCCTTCTTCTACTGTTTACCACAGGACCTGGCTGGCTGCTGCCTTGAAAGACCTGAGCTGATCCCCAGTGACAGAAGCCATCAGAACCCAGCAGATCCCAGGACATCACTAACAGGACAGGAGGCCGTGCTGTTGGAGACCCTCCTACCACCTGTGGATGACAAGCCAGGCAGAGGTACGTTACCACATTCCTGCTGCCAGCCCACCACCCCTGCTCTAGGCTGGAGCCACAACCCTTTCACAGCTGAAGCCAGGAGGTGTCTGCACACCCACCAAGTAGAGTGCACAGGAGCAGGTTTCTTCTCTCAGCTGTTTAGCTTGTAAATCCTTTGGAAAAAGGGCTGCATCTGGGTCTGTCTGCACAGCATTTAGCATAATAAAGTCTTGCTCCTTGTTACAGTGCCAGGGCCTTCCCCATGCCAGCAGCTTTATAGCCTCACTGTTTTCCTTCCCAACTCCCCAGAGCTGTGCAGCTGGAAAAACCTCATATTTCCCAGGGCAGCTCCTTTATTTTTGCCTCTGCAAACAGGGAACCCAGTTAAGCCCCAGAAAATGTCTTGGGCATTTTGTAACAAAACTTGCTCAACCAGTGTTTGAAGCATTTAACTGACCCATTTCCTTTTTTTCTTTTTTAATAAAACCAGTCATCAGCTCGGGGCAATGTACAGTTGTAATTCTCTCCCTGACAGCTCAGAGACACCACTGTGCTGCTCCCATGAGAGCACAGCTGGAAAGCTGATGGCTGTGGGACAACCCTCTCCACATAGCATTAAAAGCAGTTCAGGGTGTGTGTTGCAATGGACTTGGGAGGAGACTGAATTTCATTTGTACAGGTAAAAAAGCCACCTGGACCCCACAGTATGCAGTCTGCACTTAGGTCCCAGCTGAATGCCTGGACAGGAACCTGCCCACCACCCACCACCATCTCCTGTGACAGTGTCACACTCTGCACCATCACTCGTAATAGACAAAGGAAAAATCCCAAAATCCTGTTCTGTTTGGATGCTTGTTCAGGCGTGCCAAGCTACGATGGTTGATGTATTTCACAAACTTCATAGTTTCTTTGTCTCTGTAAACTAAGGCCAAGCAGTTGTCCTCTGGATTCACTGTCAACAGCTAGGAGACACAAGAGGAAGGGAGGAAATCAGTGTCATAAAAACAGCTTTGACAGAATTCTGAAGAAGAAACAAAAGTTTCAAAAGTTAGTCAGAGCAAAAGTCTGGTGTTAGAAAATGAACTGTGACACCATTTTCACTTTAATACCCCTTAACCTGAAGCATTTTTATAGAGTAAGGGGTTCTGGACTGGTACGACTGCTCAGCACTGTCATTAGTACTGATGCTGGGTGTGACCCCAGTGAATGGCACCCCCTGGAAAAGTGTCATCTCTGCTACAGCCTTGTGTCCCTCCAGGGCAGGCTTCCCACGTGGCCCCAGGTGCTGTGAGGCACTGTCAGGGCCCAGGTCTCACACTTTAGGGGAACACCAGCCTCTTGAAGCATGAGCAGGGAGTGGGGCAAAAAGGCTCCAGAGCAACACTGAGCACCCTCAGGATTATGTTAGTGTGTGACAAAGTGTAATTACATCACTCCACTCTAAACAATTTTATCTGATTTGCAGCTAGTAACTGAGGTTCTTACCTCTTCATCTTCACCTTTGGCAATGTAGGAGGTAAAGCCACCATATTCAGGATCCCAGTCTTAAAACAGAAAAGAAAGACTCTTAGAAAGTTCAGTCCTGCCCAGGCTTCTTAAAGCCCTCCTGGAGATGCTGTTTTGTCACCCCACTGCCCAAAGTTACTGGATACAGGATAATCCCCAGTTTACCTCCTCACAGAAGTAGAACAGTTCTGCCTTAGCAGACAGCAAAAGGATTTCAGGATAATTACCAGCATGTGCCAGATGGTTTCAGCTGTGGGTTCAGCTGGTCTAAAACGCTTGTGTTTAGATTTTTGTTTTTATCACTAACTAGCAATCTAAAATGCCCAGACATGCCTAAAGTAACTGTTGAAAACCCCGGGCTTTGTGAACTGGAGGTACAGTTGATAATTCTGGTGAGAAAAGGGGTGGAACAGAACACTTTCAGCGGGTGTTCTGGCCACCTGACTCTCCACCGTGCCCAGAGCCACTGCTCAGGAGATGAAAGGGCTGGGAGAGACAGCCTTTCCCTCTGCCCAGGCGCCACCTCCTGGCTCCAGCAGGGAAGGCCAGAGCTGACTCCAAGGCCACAATCCAAATCTTTGTATACACAAAGACTACTGAAACAAGGGTTTATGCCGAAGTGAGGACTAGGGCAAAATTTAAAGAGACCTTCCATGTAGGAAAAAGCAGGGAAATTTTGGTTGTTTTAGCACTGCTGAGAAGTCAGAAGGAACTCCTTCGTGCAAAGCTTGTAAGGAGAGTGACACCTCTCCTGTCCACTTACCCTCACAGCCACAGAAGAAGAGCAGGTCGAGAGCAAACTCTGTTGCTTGAGTGTCGTGGACCAGAGTGTAGTGCCCGTGGGTCCAGCGCCGCAGCTCCCCCGCACACACCGGGGCACCCGAGCCTAGGAGAGGGCACAGCTATGCCAGGGAACACAGGGAAGCTGGGCAGCAGCACGTGGGGAGCAAGGCCTGGGGCTGTCACACCACTGAAATCGCCTGCTGGCCCCAGCCAAGGAAAGGTAAACCCACGGATGGCACGTTAACATCTGTCCTAGAGGTGGCTCTAGGTCCTGTACTTCCAACACGTAGGAGTGGGACCAACATTTACTCCAAGCTCTGCTGTGCTTTAGTTTAACCAGTTCTTCCCTTTTTATTGTGTTTCCCCTGGATTTACAGTAGAGCTCCAAACCTCAAGAGCCAGCATCCTTTCTGCTCTGTAAGTACCCAGGAACTACCAGAAGCCCCAGTGAAGAAGGACATTGCTCTGAACTCACTCTGTGTGTGCCATCCAAGGAGGTATGTCAGAATTGGGGGAAGCCTTTCTTTTCTCATGGGTCTAGCTCAGTTTTCAACCCATGTAGACTCAAACTATGCCCCCCTCACATATGAATTAAAAATCACACGGTAGGAACAGGGCAGACAGAAGAGCCAAATGACTGTGGAAACCAGAAAAACAAAGCCTTGTTCCTACTAAGTGTTCTGATGGGATTTTTCATTAGGACTTTTTTTTTTTACTATCTTTTTTTCCAGTGTCCACTAATTTGCCTGGCTCAGTGCAAGATGTGCATTTTCAAAAATTCTGCCCTTAAACTTCAGAGCCACTGTTTGAAATAAACATCACCAATCTGTGCATCCAAAATTAATCTCATCCTTGACAGCAGTGGTATCTCACTGCTGACAATAAATGGTTATTAAGGCTGACAGTGTTTTCTGAAAGGTTAAATCCTACCTTTGAGGTATATTACTTTTCTAGTTCTGAAATTATGCTGATGTGTTCACCTTTTTCCTTTGGATTTGTTATCTTGCATGAAAATCTGATTTATAAGAAGCAGGGATATTTATATGTAGAAGCCACATAATGACTGACAAAAGCTTATTGGGCAATTAACAGCCCTCCCCAAAGTCCCTTAAGACTTAAGTCTGTTCAAAATGGTAACTTCAAGTTAGTCATGAATTTACTCCAAATTCTTTTGCAATGGTCGCTGATTTTGGGACACCCAATCTGATGTGCTTCAGGTCCCACATTTGTGCTGGTGCCCTGTGCTGGCTGCAGCACAAGATGAAACACTAGGTTCCATGGAAATCACTGGGAACTCTGCTGCCAGCACTCTTAGCACCAGGATTGTGCTCGAGCCCTTTCCCACTGCTGCTGCTCTACTTACTGCTCCGTGTCTCGCCATCCTGTGCTTCACCAGAGCTGTCAGGCTGCTCTGGCTCACAGGGATTGCCATCAGCATGTTGTTCAGCTTCTTCCTGCTCAGGTTTGGGACTTCTGTGCCCAGCAGTGTCCGCTGCTCGTCCTTCCCCAGCATCTTCATCCTCATCAGAGGGAGCCAGGAAGTGCAGCTTTAAGCCAGTGAAGTTGGAAAGCAGCAAAAACAAGGCCTCGGAGCGTAAGAGCTGCAGGAATTTCTTCAGGGTGTCAGGGAGGCTGACCTCCTCTGCTGCCTCATAGAGCCTGAAAGACAGCAGGTGTATCAGCAGCTGTATCTCCTTGTTGGAGAGCCACCAAGGACCACATCCTTGGGGCAGCAAGAACCAGGGCAGCCTCATGGCAGCTCCTGCTTGGCCTCACCAACAGCTGCAGTGTGCTGCCATTCCCCACCTTTTATTGGCAGGCCCCCGACTGCTCCACTGGATCTCTTTGTTCTCCAACGCTTCACAGAGTAGTTGGTATTTCTCTTTCTAGGCAAAAAAAAAGATAGTGCAGAGACATTATCATTCAGCTCCCAGGTGTGCCAGAAGCAGTGTCTCCAGATAAGGCACTCTAACTTGTTTGAGGATCCCCAGACTGCTGAATTTAGAGGCACTGCCTGGGAGGGTGTCGTGTCTTTTCAGTGTCAGTGACCAGGAGCTACCAGATGCTACTGGGTTGTCTGTTGGGTGAGGATGCAGCTTCACTGAGACACAATGAAGCCCTGTATGCCACAGGTCAGTCAGCCTTGAGAGGCAAAGCCCTTCAAGACAAACCTCTCATGGGTCACTTGTTTCACACACACGTGGAGTTCTCCAAGTGCTAGACTGCAAGAGCTGGGGGAAAGGCTGGGAAGCAGGAAGGATGACATGGGTTTCCAGCCTTCTGCTTTGCAGGTTGAATAGAAGTGTTTGATTTTTGGTAAGTCCCTACACAGCAGTGTACAGGCAGTCAGAGGGGATCCATCCACAGAATCACAGAGTGGTTGAGGTTGGAAAGGACCTCTGGAGGTCCATTCTCCTTTAGGGCATGAAACTAGGTGTTTTAGTTAACAGATGTGCAAGCAAGCCCTTTCCCAGCCTGCATGCCAGGTGGTACCTGTCACCCTGTTCTGGCAGATCAGATCCAATCGAACCACCAGGCTCACCTTAAGAAAGTCTTTCAGGAGAATTTCTGATCGTTCCTCAAATTCCTCCTGGATTTGAGCTTGGGAGTCCATGTCCAAATAAACTGGATTGATCCACTCATACAGTATTTCATGCTGGAAGGGAAATGGATTGCAATGCTGAGTTTGCAAAAGTGAAATTCCTCAGTTCCCCATACTGAGCTGCCCACAGGGCTGCATTCCCTCACACACACTCCATTCCTTTATTTCATTGCACCACAAGTATTTGCTGCAGTCTCTGAACCACTGGAGGTATGCAAAACATCCAGAGTCAAGAAAGATGCACGGGAAAGAAACTGGATACAAATTTATGGACAGGGAACAAAAAGGAGAATGCAATAGGATTAAAGCATCCCCAGAGCATCGCTGCCTCCCGTAACAGGTATTACAGGAACAAGAAAGAGAGAGAAATGCAGATAAGCAGATGTTACTCACATCATAGGGGATGTGGGGGCTCCTGGGCAAGGGAGCTTCAGCGTGGCGTGTGGGTCTGGGCATGGCCGGGCCGTGGAACCAACCGCTCACGGACAGGCGGCACTTCCGCGACACAACCTCTGACACCTGCAACAGCCGAGCACGTCACCTCCGGGTGACAACACTGCTGGGTGACAACACTGCTGGGACCAGGGCTGACAGGCACCCTGTAAACTCACAACAGGAGATGGACCTGACTGCAGAGAGCCCACTTGCATGGGCTCTCTGGAGTCAGACAGCACTAGACCAGGTGGGATTATCAGAGAGGCCTAAGGCAAACTTTGATGCTCAAGTCCATTGTGTGTTTCCAGAGTTCCAGTCTAAGATTTTACTCCAAGCTCACAGCAGAGCTCTCTCTGAGAGCTTTGTCATTCTGTTATAAAGTAATTGCATTTCTTTTACCATTGCATTTTTCTACCATTTATTCTGTTGAAGGACCAGCCATAACAGACTGCAAAGATCAGCTGTCACAGCTTAGTCTGGAAGGTCAGACAACAACCCGTGGGCCTTGGCAGGCTACACTGCTCTGATTTTTTGTCCTTTACTTTTTAAAAAATGCTGTAACACAAGCCAGCATGAAGGCTCTTTGCTTATTTTTCAGACTAAGAGCAGACCCTCTATCCTGGCATTTACCCTGGGCTCTGGAAACCCTTCGTTTTCCCACAGTGATGGTCACTGTTAAATCTTGATTTCATGAAATTGTGCAGAGGTTGGGCTAAATGGAACAATTTGACACTCTAAGCTGCTGTAACAGTAGTGTGAAGAGAAAGCACAAATGATGCCCCTGTTGGCAAGGTGGTGGGCTCAGGAGCTCTTCTGGAGTGAAGTGATGGCACCCACATGAAAAATGTGAGCTAGTTTAAAACAAGCCAACAAACAAAAACAAGCCCTAGCCAAATTCACAGCAGGGGCTTGCCAGGATAGCAACACAAAACAAAAGTTTTTCTTTCCCAGGCTGATGAAGCTAGACTGATAGTTTAATGTTGGCTTTGTCAGTTCTTGTCCTCCTTAAAGTCCCTGAAGCCCTGCCTTTAGCACACAGCACTTGGTGTGAGTATCTGCTCTAGCCACAGTTCTTCTCCCTCTCCATCAGGATTGTAATAACACACAGAGGGAACAACCACAACAATGAGAATCAAAAAATGAACAAGAGACAGCTCCTTGCCTGGTGGAAAGAGACTGGAGACACTTCAAAGAAAACCAGCGTGTTCCACGAAGGTACTAATGACTTGGTGATGTGCTGTGGCTGAAGGTGTTCTGAGGAGGAAGAAAACATACTCTGGTTAAGATATTGAACTGGAACTTGCTAGAAACTGCTATTTCTCTCTCACTTCATGACAGTGACTGGTAGGACACCTGGGTATAAGGGATGGAGCTCAGAGCAAGGGCTTGGCGAGGAATCAGTGCACTGCTATGGAGACAGGCAGAGAAAGTTGGAGCTGTTCAGCCTGGAGAACAGAAGGCTCCAGGGAGACTTTAGAGCCCCTTTTGGTGCCTAAAGGGGCTGCAAGAGAGCTGGGAAGGGACTTTGGACAAGGGCATGGAGTGACAGGACAAAAAGTAATGGCTTCAAACTGACAGAGGGCAGGGTTAGATTAGATGTTAGGAAAGAATTCTTTACTATGAGAGTGGTGAGGCCCTGGCACAGGTTGCCCAGAGAAGCTGTGGCTGCCCCATCCCTGGAACTGTTCAAGGCCAGGTTGCACAGGGCTTGGAGCAACCTGGGATAGTGGAAGGTGCACCTGTCCACAGCAGGGGGCTGGAACTAGATGATCTTTAAGATTCCTTCCAACCCAAACCGTTCTGTGGCTCTGTTGCTGGAAAGGGACATTACTGTCATCATTCTGGAGTTCCAAGCACAGTTACTGGAATTGCTTCCAAGTTGCCTCCACTCTCAGCCCTTCCGAAAGAACAGAATAAAAGGCTGTTTCTTTGTCTGCTGTTGCTCGTTGCCTGTAAACCCCACTACAGCCCATCCCTAAGGTGCGAATTTTACCTACACATCCGCTTCTGTGGACAAAGGAGAAACTCTTTATCTCCCTGCTACTGTTTGAGGGGAGAGTTGCAGCAAGGTGCACATGAGCTCCGTGTTTTTCACCCCCCTGAGGCTGTGGCCGGGCTCTCACCGTCTGTGCAGAACAGGTCCAGCGTTCCCCCGTCACTGCTCTCCCAGGCTGGGACGAGGTACAGGATGAAGGCGATTCTCCGACCTTCCAGCTCGTCATCGTGGCACAGCAACACATCTGCAATCACACACCTTCTGCTGCTGCAGCATCTTTCCAGCACACACGTGATTCATTCCAACAACTGCTTCCCAGCTTGGGCCCCGCGAGGGCACGACAAGAAGAAACACGTTCCTCCCAAGAACTGCATTTTCGCTCATCGGCATCACCAGCCCGAGATCTGCAAGGTTACCTTCTGTGGGACTGCACTGCAGCTGGCAGATGAGCCCCCTCTGAAGGTACAAGCAGTCACACCTTATCACCCACCCCTTCCTGGCTGCCACTGGGCACAGGGGACAGAGATTCCCAACCTAAACAATGACTCCAGCTCTGACTTCTGAACAGAGTAGGTTTGTTGCTGGAATAGAGAGAAGGGGGAATCCTGGGAACAGAAAAGCTGGACCAGCAACTGATTGTGCAAAAGACTTTTAAAAATAAGAGTTGATTGCAATTAAAAATTCCCCCTTCCTACAGTGACTTTTCACGACTGAAAGCACAGGCACAGTTGAAACCTGGAGTCGCCAAGTGACATTTTGCCATTAGAATTCACAGACTCAACTGCAGCATTTGGAAGATGAACATGTCACACTCTTGTATGGAAGCAGCCACATAAACACAGGCTGAACATCTCTGAAAAGGTGGGGACTTGCAACAGCACCAGGCCCAGCCAAAGCCACCAGCAACAGAACTGCAGCAACAGTTTTTCCATCATTTGCACTTTGTTTTCTGAGACTTTGATTTGCTGCTTCTGGGACCCTCTGGAACTAGAAAAGGGTTGGGATGGGTTATAGAACTAGATATTCCATAGACATTTTGTTTCCTACAAGCTTTAGGGAAAAGATCACTTATATACTGACCAGTATACTCATATTTAGCACAAGAGATGTCAATAGTTGGCTCCAGCTCTATCTGGGTCACAGCAGAAAGCCACGGTCGGAATTCTTCACAGAGAGCATTCCTGAGAAGACAAGCATAGGGTACGTGTCCTCCCGTGTTATAAAGCGTCCATATCACCATAGACTAAACTAATTTATTGTCTCCCAACTATTTAAAGAGTTACAGGTGCTGTTGCTGCGGGTCACAGTGTATCCTTTACCTCAGCGCTGCGATGTGGGGCTCCGGGCTTGCCCCCAGCTCCTCGGACTGCGGCGGCCCATGGAAGAGAAGAAGGGACGGGGGTTAGGGCGGCTCAGCACAGCACGGCCCGGCCCGGCCCGGCCCGGGGCCCACCTGCCGCAGCGAGAGGAGGTCGTTGTGCCGCCCGTGGAAGCCGAGGCCCAGCAGCTCGTCCCGCAGCGCCTCCGCGAAGGCCGCGCCCGCCAGGAACCCGGGGATGACGGCGTGCCGGAACGGGGCCGGCTCCAGCGCCGCCGCCTCTGCCAGGGAAAGGCCGCCGGTGAGGGCCGGGGAGCCGGTGAGGGCCGTACCGTGCCGCACCGCTCCCCGCGGGCCCGGCCGGGCCGTACCGGGCCATGCCGGGTCGTACCAGGCCGTACCGTACCATGCCGCAGCCATTCCCCGCGGGCCCGGCCGGGCCGTGCCGGGCCGTACCAGGCCGTACCGTGCCGTACCAGGCCGTACCGGGCCATGCCGTGCCGTACCGTGCTGCAGCCGCTCCCCGCGGGCCCAGGCCGCCCCCGCGCGCTCCCGCAGCGCCGCGTCCCCGAGGGCCGCGCACAGCTCGGCGCGCGCCTCCCGCTTCCCGCGCTTCGCCCCCGGCGGCGCGCCCGCTCCGCGGCGCTTGGCGGCCATGACACCGCCCAGCCGGACTGCAACTCCCGGCGGCCCCCGCGCCGCGCCCCCGGCAGCCAATCGGATGGCTCGGGGGGCGGGGCGGGGTGCCGCCGGCCAATGGGCGAGGAGGGGAGGGCGGGGCGCGGTCCCGGCAGGCGGCGCGCGGCGCTCGGGGCCGGGCGGGCGTTAATGGCGGACGCGGCTTCCGCCGCCCAGCGCTGACCCGCCGCTCCCGCCGCCTCCGCCCCCTCCCGCCCTGTCCGGGGTACCGCCCTGCCTGGGGGTCCTGGCTCTGCCCCCCGTCCCTCCCGGAGCACACGGGCCACGCCGGGGGTGCAGCCCCCCCCCCCCCCCCC